ATTTTGGACAGATTTTTTTTTTCCTCTGAGTCAGAGTTCCCCAGCCAAGAACAGGGAGCCATAATTCAAAAGTGTTTTTCTTTTTCTTTTCTTTTCTTTTCTTTTCTTTTCTTTTCTTTTCTTTTCTTTTCTTTTCTTTTCTTTTCTTTTCTTTTCTTTTCTTTTCCTTTTCTTCTTTTCTTTTCTTTTCTTTTCTTTTCTTTTCTTTTCTTTTCTTTTCTTTTCTTTTCTTTTCTTTTCTTTTCTTTTCTTTTCTTTTCTTTTCTTTTCTTTTCTTTTCTTTTCTTTTCTTTTCTTTTCTTTTCTTTTCTTTTTCTTTTTTTTTTTTGTGTCTGTTTACATTCAAAACATCAGGAGATTTATTAGGGGCATCATTCAGGTATTCAGAGCTTGGAGCCTTATGTGCTCACACTACAATGAAAAATAAGAGAAATGTCTCCCCTTGTCCATGCAAGCGCCAATAGGACCAAAATTCTGGTGTCTTAACGGGGCCAGTGAGCTGTGGTATCTAATGAGGTCAGTTCTCCTTGCTAAAGTCTTTCTATGAAGAGCTCAGGACAGGCTTGGACTAACAGAGTTTAAGGAAGAAACATCAAGAGTGGGAGCCAGCCCGAGTCTTTGCTCATTCCCAGTAGCCAGAGATGTGGTTGTTTGGGTTGGTATTTTCCCTGGCACCAGTAATCCAAGAAGCCAGGAACAAATCATCTCCAGTTGAGCAAAGCCCAAACCTGGAAGTTCAGTGGATTTTCAAGCTGATTTATTTTTTGGGAGCAGGGGAGCTGTGGCTCCCATGGACTCTGTAGTCAGAGATGCAGGGGTTAAGTTGAGAGGATTTTACACTGAGGTGCAGAGGCAGATTGAGATACTGTGGTTTCTAAGGTGGATTAATCTGCACAGCTACCCCGTGCTGACACTGACTGTGTTTTTAAATTCAGCTGTTGTGACACTGTCCATGCCAAAATACATGTTTGGCCTTAAAAATGACATTGCTGATGCAAAGCTGCTCACAACCATGAGGCTGTTTTGAGATGCACTGAGTGTACCATACAGGTCACTATGTATTTTTCACAGATATATTCACTGAAATACAAGCAACTGGAAATTCCTTCATGGGTACTAACAATACATTCCTAGTATTTTTGACTCACGTGGAGTCGGGCAGTCTGTACCTTCCAGGTATGCGCAGCTGATCGTGGGAGCATCGACACCTGCCTCGCTGCTTCTGAGGCCAAAGCGCTTCCCTCTCCGAGCAGGTACCACACACCAGACCAAAACACGTGGATTGTTTTCATTAGCCGTCTGGGGCTTTGTGTTCTGTTGGTAGCACAGTATTAAGTACAGTGGCAGAATCTTAGCATTGTGGGATTTTTAAATGTAAAGCACATCTCTGATGCTTCAAACTTAAAAACAAGGAGTATGGGTTACTGTACCAGTAGGGCTTTGCATTCATAGAAAACTTTGTTTACTGCCTGTAACGTGATACTTATCCTTGGCCCTGTTTCTCCCATACCTTTTACACCGACTGTTTTACAGTGTCACAGAAATTAAAGGATTTGTCCAGACGTTTTCCTGGTTTGGTTCCCAGCCCCTTGGCAGAGGTGCCGGGGCGAGCAGCGGGAGCCGGCACCCGTGGGAACATGGTGGGCACGACAAGGTAGCCCTGAGAAAATGACCCCAGGGAGAAAGAAATGAGGGCAAGTGGGGAGTAACTGGCTCCTTCCTGCCCATGACTTCTCTTGAGCTTCCTCAGAGGATCTGGTTTTCCCTCTTTTCCTGTCTGTGAGAGGAGGGAGAAGAGGAGAAGGGCTCAGCTCATCTCCTGTAGCTAAGCCAGCTGCTCAGTGGAGTCTGGGCAGCCTCTCTAAGTGTGGAATAGCAAATTCAGGAGAAGAGCTAAATCCTGGTATTTCACATGTCCTCAGATTTGTTTAAAAGAGTTTTTTTTTCATCTAGGGAAAGTCATTTGAGTGGGAGCGATACATGAAGGATAACTGCACAGCCAATGTGAGACAGAAATATGTTTGGTTCTGTTTGATCAAACAGGTGTTGATCTGAACTATGAGCCTTTGAGGAAGGCAGTGAGGTCCCCTACCCGTTGCTGTTAATATCCGTCTTGCCAGCTTGAAGTAATGTTGTGCCAGCAGTGCAGAGGATGCACCTGAGGCCACAAATACGCTGCAAAGGCAGCTAAAGGTGCAAACACATTTGCAGCATCCTCCAGGAGCTTGTACTTGTGGTTCCCAAGTATTGAATTTATTGTTGGGAGATTGACGAGTTACTTTAGTGACATTAGAGCCATTTGAGGTTTCCAAAAAGCCTTTGAGTCAGTCCCACGCAGCAGCCAGAGCCCGGCCATAGCCCTGGCGCGCTGTGGGTTGATGTGTCCACGTGTTCCCCCCGCTGGGCTCCCTCGCAAGGGCCATGTGGGAGGCGACGTCAAGTGCAGCTTCCAGGATCCACCCGGAGCCCTGGAGCAGGGAAGCAAAACCAGCCGCCTGCCCCCGGCTTGGAGGGTCCGTGTCCTCTTCTCTTGCTAGCGTTAAAACCCCATTTTCGTAAAAGGAGGTAACAGAAATGTATTTTTTATTTTAAACTCTCGAAATTTGGGAGCTGATGGAACTTCTTTTTCTCCTGAGTTTGGCCTCGGTTCCTTAACATGAGTGCCTTGGCTGCCTTTCCTTCATCACGTTTTTCAAGGCATTTACCAGCTTACTCAGTAGTATAGCTGTTGTACAGATAAAGTGTCTCCTGCTGTGCACAAACTGTGAATTAACAGAATGAGAGACCCTTAATACATCTGTAGCAATGCAGGGCCTTTAAATAGGAAGTTGTCTTTTTTTACCCCCACAAGTTAAACATCTCGGAAACACTTCAAACCCTTCCTTCAGAAAGAAGAAACATGAAAACTAACAGCTTGTCATCCAAATATCCCAGGATTTCCCCTGCACCAGACAGAATCTAACTTCTTACGATACCAATTTTGTGATTCGTGGGGTAACAGTGCCCCGATTTCCACTTTCTAGAAGCCTGTGCAACTGTGAATGTAGCTCTGCCTTGGCACCAGCAACCTGGGGCCAGTTGCTAGGTCTCTGTTAATTACTGTATTTTTTCCTAAGTAATTTTCTGTTTCATTTATTGCCAATAAATACTTTTATATCCATGGCTTTGAATGTATAACAAACATAGCAGCTGGCTCCAAGCAGGCCCAGTGAGAGTAATGTAATTATTTTGTCCTGTAAATGTTGACAGTTCTGGAATCCTTAAATCCAAACTCCCCAAGAGCTGGATCCGGTCTCAGACCTCGCATGGACACTGCGGTCAGGGCATCCCAGTTCCTAGAGGCCCCAGGTACCTCACTCGGTACAGTCAGTACCTGGGGTGATGCACAACTGCTCCAGATCCTTGCTGCACGTTGGTTTTGTTGTTGCTCCCCTTCTGGCCCTCGCGTTTTCTCTGTTGCTGTAAAAAGAGCACAAGAAAAGCAGCACGATGGTGGCACCTGCCCTGTGAGCAGCGAGGACACTTTAAAGAACTTTAAATGCTTAAGGAAAACACTCTTACTGATATGTGACTTCCTCCACCTTCCCCCTTGCTGATTTTCCCAGTTTTGGCTAAATTATATAGTTGCCTGGACATGGTGGAACTGCCTCCTCACCAGCTTTGTCAGGGGAAATCAAGCTGAGCCCCTCCTCAGTGTTCAAAGGTAATTTCCAAGTTGTTTGGCCTAAATCTTACTGCTCTGAGAAAGGGGGTGGAAAAGGATGTCTAGGAAGTCATGGATTTGAAGTCTTGATGTGTCAGAAAACACACATTTACACACAGAAAAATAATGGTGCTAGTTCTGTTATTCCCCTGTGGGCTTTGGAAGGCAACTCTGCGCTCCCTGAAGGGAGGGAGCTCGTGGTGCTGAGACTCAGCTCGACCGCCCTGAAACCCCTGCTGGGGAGAGGACAGAGGGACCCGTGTTCCGGGAGCTGCCCCTCCACGTGACGGGACTGGGACAATAGTGTCCAGCGGGGGTTTGTACTGACCTTGCTAGCGCGGGCGCTGCGGGGACGGCACCAGCCGCCGTCCGTCTTGCGCTTGCGGGTTTTCCACTGCGGTTACTGTCCGAGACTTTAGTTTTTAGAAATAATTACGCACAATCTTAATGTTGTATGAGGTTGAGTGGTGACATTAGTGCTCTGCTCTTAGCCTGACTTGTGCTCAAGAGCATGTAAGAGCTGGCAACGTGTTTAATTTTTTCCTCACTTGAATGTATCTTGGATGAAGGTAAAATATGGCTGAGAATTCACTGGACCGTCATTAGTGTTACTGTCATAGAAAACTGTTGCAATGTAGCGTCCTCCCTCCAAACCCTTCCTAGCTTATTTTAGGTCATGCAAAAACAAACCACAAAACAAACAATCAAAAAAAACAGAAGTGCTGTATCAAGTTCTGAGTTGTGGATGCTTCCCTGTGTTACCGAACTGTATGATAATAATTACCTTTGTAGCTAGTTGGACTTTTCTTGTGGAAAGCAGAAGTAGTGTTTTTTTTTCTCTCTTCATTTGAGCTATTACATTTTTCAGTGTTTTGTAGGAAGATTTTTTTACTGTGTTTTCAATAAAGTCTGATTCCAAGTGGGGTGTTGATGCTCTTTTCTTTAAAGCCACTTCAGTGTCATGTCAGTGGTGAGAGGCCTCAGGTGGGAGAGGCAGCCAGGTAAATAGTTCTGGTCTGTGATGCTGCTGACAGAAAATGTATCTGTTGCCACAGTGGGACTGGGGAAGGGATGGGTGACAGTAGGAGGATGTCGATGAAGATACTTTAAGACCAAATATGAAAGTGAATATGAAAGGAAAACAACTCAGAAGCAGCATTGCCTCTTTTAACTTTTATTTTGACATCACTGTCCATTAAGAAATGCCCATTTTCTTTGCAAAAAATGGCTGTGGAGTTAGAAATATAATCTGTTGTCAGCTAAATTTTGTTAGGTAGATCGTTAGAAGATGTATACATCAACATTCAAGAACCTTCTTCTGATAATATGAACGACATAAAGGGCACATGTGTCTTTCTCCCAAGGAGAACTCTTCAAATGCTTGAAGACAGGTGCGATGAAACAAATGTGAACAAGACAGCAGCACCGTCTGCCGCGGGAACTGGCTGCCCTTACCAGGAAAGGCACAGGGAGGATGGAGAGCGGGGCTGAGCGGCATAATGCAGATAGGACAGTCAAAGATCTCCTGCCGAAATGCCTACGGAAGAAAGGCAGAGGGAAACAAGTCAAAAACCTACTGTGGACCTGGTAACTACAGAAACAGTGCACTAATCAGAAAGCTGGAAATTGGTGTGAGTTACAGAATCACAGAATGCTAAAGGTGGGAAGGAAGGGGCCTCTAGAGGTCATCTAGTCCAACCCCCCTGCACACAGACGATCACCTAGAGCACGTGGCACAGGACTGCATCCAAGCGGGTTTTGAAGATCTCCAGAGAAGGAGACTCTACAACCTCCCTGGGCAGCCTGTTCCAGTGCTCTGTCACCCTCACTGATAAGAAATTAATTTTTCCTTAATTTTTCCTTTATGAACATGAAGTGTATTTTCATTAAACCAGGAGCACTTTGACTCTTTGAGCTCTTTAACTAATTAACAGAGAAATGCTACCTATGTAGGAGCAAACCACAATTTAAAAATCTTTTTTAGAGATTTGGAACAGTTAAGAACAGATGTAAAAATATGCTGAAAGTCTCATGCCTCTAAATTGATTATGTTGCTAAATGCAAACCTGAGTTTAATAATAATAAAAGCACTAATTGACCTGCATCTGTATCTTCTCCCAGTCGAGTTTGCTTAATAACATTTCCTTTCCTTCCACCTGCTGGAAGGCATCTCGACTTGCAGCGATAGAAGAATCGATTTCAGAAAAAAACTCATCTAGGTTGGTATCATAGGAACTGAGCAGCCGAGTGCTGATATGTTGAACCTGAAAAGAAAATGAAGCGTAAGTAGAGCAGAATTCAGAGTTGTTTATAGGTACAGACTCTTACATACCCTACATACATGGATGAATGATGAGGGATTGCACAAGTGGATCGGAATAGTCCGACACTCTCCCAAGGGTTTGTTTCCTCCCAAACTCCCAGCACTGGGGCTCCTGGAGGCTCCCCCGCTGGGACTGCCAGCTCTCGGGGGGACAGATGCTGCTCTCAGGAGCAAACTGCCCAGGAGCCAGGGAATCTGCTGCAGGCCGCTCGTGTCCAGGGCTGACAGAGCTGGGAGCATCACGGCTACAAGCGCTGCGGCTCGACCAGTAACGCGCTGCTGGCACTAAGAGCTTTCCAGACCCAGAGGAACCAAGAGCCCAAATCCCACTAAAGCTACTCTGAAAAAGTCAGTCAAGATTTAGAGATTTTCTTCTTTCCCTCTAAAATTATGAAAAGCCTGTAGTATCACCTACTATAATAAAAATATTAGGATCATATGATGTGCAAATATGCAAGTGTCTTCTGTAAAAACTCAGAATGTTTCTCTCTAAAGATTCAAAGACAAACTTTACAAGCATCCAAATACGGGTAGCGTAAGTGATTCTTGGAGTTGGTACAGGCTATTCTTTTTATTTAGCTGTCTGATTCACTATTATTATTATTATGACTTAAAATACTTGCAAATGATTTCCAGAATAGTGTATGGAAAGGTTGTATCCATTTAGGTTGAGTTGTACTATTAGGTAATGCTAGTGCAAGAACATAAGTGTAACTTAAGAAGCCCTCTCCAGAGAGCCCCTGTGCAGCACCCACATTCAAACTGCAGCAGGACATGAAGGCGCCTTCTGCAGTTTGAGAGTGAAGCTCTGCATCTTGCACAGGGCCCAGGAGTCGTTTCGGGCTCCCTCAGGACTCCTCCCTGAGGAGGAAAACCACCCCCCGAGCGCCCAGGCCCTCAGGGGTCTGTGCAGAACACGATCCCGACACTATTGACACGGTCCGGGGCTTCCAGAGTGAGACGCTGAAATGCTACCACACTAGAGGTTACTTTCATCAAGTTATTAGTCTTGAGTGTTTTAATATAATTATGTATTTTTAATATAAAAATTACTAGGAATGTTATTGCTTAATCTATCATCTAAGCTGTTTTACCTGGGCTGAATTGTCCCACTCTGTAGCGTTACCTACTCTTAACGGCTTCATTTTCACATCTAGCGACTTCACAAAGAATAGCAGCAGATAGATCTGAACCTTACATCACTCGTGCTTTCTGGGCAACATTCCCAGCCTGATTTATGCTCGGTCTTCCTTTATATGGGTATCAAATGTGAACACACCTGCCTTGTTTCCATGAGAGAGCCAGGGGCTGTGAAGGAAAGTTAGAGCTGCCCTTCCTCTCACCTCCACTGACAGCTTCTCGGGTCCCAGGTTTGAGGAAAGCGACTCTATGACCTGGCCCAACCCATGCCCATCCATCAGCAAATGAAGTCTTGGGGCAGGAAGAAAAAAATGTAACTAAAATTTAACCCCAAATTTATGCTAGCTGGCATATCACTATTAAATACCAATGTGAACAGTGGTCAGAAAGCAAGAAGCATTTTTTATAGTTTGGATGTTATGCACCAAGGTGTAATTTAAATGTGTACTACGTGAAGTAATGTGTAATTTAAATACTAAACCCTTCTGTGTTTCAATCAATAATACCGTTTTTTCCCCCAAACAAGTGAAACTGATTAACTGAATCTATTTCTAAAAACACCAGACCTGTATCTTTTCTGCCTGTGACTTCTTATGATTGCCATAGCCTGGCATAAGCCAAGTCTGTGCAATCCTGCCCCACCGCGCAGGGCTGCATCCGTCGGCCGCAGAGCGGCACAAAACGATGACAAAACGAGACGGTGAAACAAAGCACGGAGGTGAACTTTGCTCACAGGGAAGGCTTCTTAAGTGATCCAGTGTCAGCAAATTGCTTACTAATGTGTTGACTTATGGCAGCCCTCCATAGTAAAATGAAAAGGCTGGAATTTACAGCGTATCAATGAATCAGTTGATAAGCTTTTACTGGTTTAATATCCTCCTAGTTCTGCTGCTTGGAGCCGCTTCAAGTTAGCAACAGAATGTTTGCCATGTCCCTGTGATAAAGGAAGTCAAACGGCTAAACAAATTCGAGGACCATTATGGTGTTTGGGGAGATTTAAATTAAAATTGTTCAGAGAAATCATGGGGAGGGGGAGGAGGAAACTGAAGTCAGCTACATTTCACGAATGACCTACCTGCCTTCCCAAACAATGGGGAAGGTTTTTAGCAAAGCTGGAGATAGTGTAATGCATTTGAAAAGATTTAACTGCACCAATAAAAGACCATACTACAATTAAATGACATATGCAAGTGACATTTATAGGCAGGATCAAAGAAACCCACTACCCAACACGCTGCCTTCTAAGGAACACACTGCTTTCTGTGCAGAGTGGTGTTAAAAAGTAACATCGTTTGGTTTCAGTGACCCTTTGTGTCTCCTTTGATCTAAATTATTAAAAAATGGATTGGTGTAATAAGAGCTACTGTATCCCCCTCAAACAAGTAACGTGCATATTTCCTGGTACTAATATTTCAGGTGTTATTTCTTATTTTGTGACATTTATTCAAGAGTATGAAACTTGACATTTAGCCTTTGTGATCCTTCGAAGTGAGGTAGGGTTATTAAAAATCTAACTGCTAACTTCTGATTTTTCTTTCCCCACTTGTCTTGCCCTTTGATTGTGCTAACATTTAGGGAGTGACATTTTAAAAGCACAAGTTAGAGAGAGAGAGAGAGAGAGAGAGAGAGAGAGAGAGAGAGAGAATTCATTCTAGAAAAGCTCTTTAGCATCTAGGAATGGATAGCTCCTTGCGCAAAAACCCTGCAGTGTTTTCATTAACCAACACTTAGAAGTGCTAACAGCAGGAAAACTCATCTACAACTCTCACTTGAAAGCCACTACAAAAAAAAATGAGTATATATTCTTTAATCATAAGCTCATTCGAACCTGACTAATCCATGTGAGAAGACCTTATAAATTTATTTTTAATAGAAAGTAGAAAAAGTGGCGCCCAGTTTTATTCCCTGCAAAATCCTGAAGTGTCACATATGAGAGTTATTTCCTAATGCAGAAATTATATTGTGGGAAGCATTTACTGTGGGTTACAATCAGCTGATAAAATGTAGGCAGTTTTTAATCAATTTGTCCCTCCCTAAAACGGACATCTAAAGTGTCCTTGAAGGGTGGCCACTGCAGTTAGTTCTATATAACTGAAGTGACTTAAAAAAATAAAAGGATTGGTCTGACTTGACTTGCAATTTAGGTGAGAGTAATTTCCCAGTTGCATGCACGGGCATAAATTGCTTGTATAAATTTTCCTCACTTGTACCTTGAAAATAAGGTGAAATAAATAGATTAACAGAACAGCTGCTTCCAAGACTGCTTGTTTGATATAAATAAGGAATAAAGACAAAAGTACAGAGCTGATGTTGAAGAGTTTTGGCATAAGGGAGCTGAATAAAAGCACCAATAAATGCACCATACCTTTTCTTCAAAGAACTGTTTTCTTAATTTGCTATCTTTAGGAGGCACTGTTTTTCTCAAGTTTTTATACCACTTTCTGACAACGTATCCCCTCCATGAAGCTTGAATTCTGTGGGAAAACAAGATGTTATTGCTCAAGAAATACAAATTTACCTAATTCTACTCTTTATGTGAAACAATCATTTTGCACATCTAAATAAAAAAAATTGTTTACTTGGTAGTGCATCCATCCAGGGTACAGTTTCTGATGAAATTCACATTTTAACCCATATGGATCATTATTTTAAACCAAATATTGTCCAGTGCCAGCATGTGTGGCAGCAGTAAGGCTTACCTGATAGCGCACTTTACTTTAAACAAGCGTGCCCCGTCATGTATTACTCGGGTCTGATACTGGTTTTTCCTGCACATAGGACAAGACTTTTTACCTGTAAATTTTTCAAAGGCTTTTAGGCATGCCTGAAAAAATAATTGTAATTACTTACAATATATTTACATATCACTGGAACAAAAGAGACAGATCAGATTTCATCATACACAAACTTTTCATTCATCAATCCATAAACATTCTATAAAATGTATATATCTGTAAAATAGTTAGAGAATTTTAAGTCTTTATATATTCCTGCGAATTTTTGTTAACTATTCCTGTTTAGTATATCAATTTGTATCTCAATTTTTCCCACATATTTGTCAAAAAGGTAAGAACATGGAAAAAATGAACTCAAAATATCCTCAAATTAATTTCTTACAATAAAAATCAGAAATCAAGATTGTTTTTCAGTATGAATAGATTTAGCTCATCAAGATATTGACTCATGTATTATGTGCTTGAATAGTTAAGCAAAAATGTACTCACTTTATGAAATACATGGGAACATGAAAGCAATACCTGTTATTCAAAGGAAAAAAAAAAAGACTTTAAACCATTCGGAAAGCTGAAAAGTAGAAGAATGTTGACAATAAAAATTGTGACTGCTGGAAAAGACCATCAGTTTCTTTCCATTACTGTTACAATCCTTCTGATGAAATGAAAATTAGTCTTCTACAGAAATTACTTTATAAACTACATGTTAAACCAATGTGTGAATTTTATGTTTACATACATGGGGTGGCAGAAAGCAAGAAATGCCAACTGCTACTGATGGGAGCAAAGGATTATGAAACAAGTACTTAAAATGAAAGCCCATTAATTTTTTTTTCCCCTTTCCCCCACAAAGACATTACATTTCAAGTGATAAACATCAAATGCAGCATTTCACACATACAAAAAAAAAAACCCAAAAAAACAAAAGAGAAGGCATGTTCGCAGGGGACAAGAAAACTTCACCTTTATCTGACCTAAATTCCCACCAAATACTGGTGAGCTCCATCCTGACAAAAGATATGGAGCTGGACAAAAAAGGCAATTGGCTCTTAGAAGATGGAAAAACTGGGAAATGAGTGAAAACCAGAACAAGTAGTGTGCACTATTGAGCTGGTAAACACAAAAGGATTAATGGCTAGCAGCCAGCTGAAGGGAAAGCTTTCAGATACAGTGGCTTTTTTCCTTTGAGGGAGGAAAGCTCAGAAACATTCAGGACAAAAAGAATTCCAGAGGCATTTCCCTTTTTGTGCCAAATCTCGAGTAACCTTCTGAATGAGTGCTGTCTTTTGCTCTTTCTTGTCAAGGTTTAGATTTTTAGGGTAGCCACAGATTGGCAAAATGGTCTTGTTAGGCCAGCTCTATCCCCGCCTGCCTCTGGAGAACTGCACACCTCCTGCTAATGCCGAGGTGGAAGGAAGCAAGAGCTCTGCTTCTGAAGTCATTAAAGACCCTGATTCACACCACAGACTTGATGGCAAAAATCTTCAGGGAAAAACAACATAGAGAACAGACAGGAAAAAAAAAATCATAAAAATAACGTGGAAAGAAACTTGCAATCAGCTGGGATAATTATGCTAACTACTCTCATCACCTTTCTAAAGCAGCACTTCAATCAGTCGCTTGTCCCTTCTGTTTTAAGGCTTTCAAGATGACACAAGTAAATCTCATAAAACACGACGTAAACACACTTAATGCTATACATATCCACTGCATAAATCCACTGAGGCAAAAATGCAAGCATTTCTTCAGGTAAGCTGAGTGAACAGAATTAAGAGCACACCGACTTCATTTTCCAAATACAAACGTCCTTTGAACTGAAGAGTAACAAACTTGTGAGAAAAGAAAATATATCTTAAATTTGTATAATTGGTGAATATTCATCATTTTGAAGAACTAAAGCTAAATCATAGCTAACTGGAGCTTAGAAGGATCTATAGAGTAGCCTGTATTTGCTTTGTAAGGCCAGATAAAAAGGCTGGTTTACATTCTTTCCTACCGTCATAACTTCAGTAGTGAGGAAATATTACCAACCTTTCTCAATCCTGTCTAAATGGCATCTTAACACAGATTCTTTCATTTTTCTTCCTCCTTCTTCCAACTAATGGTTTTTAGCAGTAACCGTGGAAAATCTTATTTGAAGTAGCCTATACCAAGTCATACTACAGTTATATACGTACCTGAGGCTGGAGTGCAAATTCTTCCCTGCAGATTGCACAAGGCTGCACAGAATCTCCCTGCTTTATGGATCTCTGCTTTATTTTTGCCCATTCTTCAGCAGTGAGTGGCAAGGGAGGAGGCTCAACCAAGCCTAATTTCTGAGCTGTGGACAATAACAAATCACTGAATAAAACCCACTGACATGGATCAGATGCAGACACTGAATTTCTTGCCCACCCCCCCCAAGTGAAATCCACTAATAATGCACTTTTAAAAAATACTGTATAGAAGGTTATAATCAGAGAAACTACATACCATAAGACAAAATACTTCTTACGATTAGTCATTCAGTAATTGCCAGAACCAGAATTATCTTTTTCGAACAGGATTTATAAAGGAAAAATTTAAATGTAACTTTTTATTTATCAAAATAGATTGTTTTGATACCCGTGCACACCTATTAAGATGAGGATTATTAGTTAGATTGTAACGATGCAAAATAATGTAATTTTAAATCATAAATATGTATGCAAGATTTCTGTTAGAAGTTATTTCTGAGGGTTTTTAAACATTATATTATTGTATTCTCAAAATTAAAAGAAAAATGCATAGGGCAGTACACTTAAACAGTTGCTGCTGCAAAAAGCTGAAGTAAAATATCAGAATGGAGGATGCAAGGAGAAGCATAAACAGAGAGATGGTCACAGGAAGACACCACAAGCGTCTCTGGAGTAGCTGAGCTTGTCAATCTCTAATCAAACTGCGAGGTTCTTTGCTGGAAGCACATGCAAAATTTCCATCTTCTTAAGCAGAAACAGTGAAGATGTCTGCAAAATTTCCCCCCAAATTTAAGAACATCAACTGTTGTATTTCAACAGTGAATAATGTGAGAGTCGGTACAACAGGGCTTGACCTACAAAGAGGAACTTTTTCATCTTGAGGCCCTTAGAGGAAGCAGTTTGTGTGGACTGACCCAACTGTGTAGGGATGCCTGAGACCTAAGCAAAGGAAATTAGTCCACGACAGAGTCTGTAATGACACTTGTTAAAACCAGAAAGGAAGAGGGACTTGCACTCGTTAGAATGCAAGCTGATGAAGCTCAGATGAGAGATTCTGTTGTGCACAGGGAAGGACAGGTCAACTCTTGTATTCATACCAAAGAACAGAGCTTACCAAAATCTTTGCATAAGCCAGACATTAAGCAGCAGCACGTATTTGCTCTAAATAAACTTTCAAAACCCAACTAGACACCGAGTTCAAACCCATTATACTGATTAGGCACGAAAAGGATTCCTAACAAACCATGGAAAGAAGGGGCTTCAGGTGGTCCTCTTGCCCAAGTACACCATTATTCTAGAATAGGATCTGTCCACTTTTGAGAAAAAAATCTGCTTCTTAGCTCATCTATCCACAGATGCATATTGTTAATCATTTAAAATTTGCACAAAACTGTCTTTGATCTTTGTGCTAGAACTTCTATGAGGTACTGAAGGAATTCTGCAAAATGTTTTCTCCCTTGGGCTCAAATATGACTTTCTTCAAACGTAAACTAATTCAATTGCATGTCTTGGAACAAATGGATGACTTGGAGATTTCAAGCTCTGTCAGGTTATGCTTTTGGAATGACATCGAAATCTGACTAAACAGAAGTGGTGTGTCTTCTTCAACATAGATTTATATCACTAAGATTTAATTAGCTTCTCAGCCTGTCCTACTTCAGTCCATATAACTATGATTTTTGGCTTCGCTGATTTTTTTTCCTGGTCTTGTTTGTATCCAGAAGAGACTCATGCAGGAAGTCTTCTTGAATGACCACTAATCGGCTCTACTCTGTCAACTTGAGCAAATCTCTGGCAATCCTGATGAATCCAGGCTGAAGAATTCCAAGTCCTGAAGTGGAATTCTGAAGCATTATATATTCAAATCTGAACTACTGGTTTAAATGGTTCTGAGTCTTTTACTACTTATGTCAAACTGCGCACATAACTTTGTTACTTTTCTTTCCCTTTTAAAAGGTATCAAGCCAGGGGTCAACCAGAGATTTCAAAGTGCCCATAAACCCAAATATCAGAAGCAAATTGTGCTTTTACTGTGCTGTAGATGACATGGCGACCATATACGATTGTCTTGCAGGCACACTGGGTTAGTTCCCATACAACTTGGTATGGAGACACTAAATCCAGGATGTTCCCACATGCTCTGCAGCTCCTAGCACTGCCTACAAACTACAGACTAGAGTTCAAGCCAGTCAATGTCAAGCAAGCAGAAAAGTGCAAGTTATATGCACTTACAGGGCTTACTTTCAACATATAAAAATCCAAACTACATTAACTAAAAATACGCACTGTCTGTCTACTCATCTGGTGCTACTGTTGGCACTGCAAAATAATGTGAGCTTCGAGAGAAACAGTAGGGATTCTGCAAGCTAGAGTCTATAAACTAGTTCTTAAAGAGCATACAGAAAACAGAACTGCAGAAACAGTTATCTGAGTGGCCAGGGAGTTCTCCTAACCAGAAATACTTTCTGTTTTGACCATCCTTCTCTTGAAGAGCACAGATCAGTGTTTTCTCTACAAAGAATCAAATTATGTAACAGATAAAGGTTTCAATAAAAAATATGTATCCAATTTTGTCTTACAGTCCTACCTAAGAGTGAATGAATAAAGAAACAGGATAACATTTTGACAATCCAATATACACACATTGCCTGTCATTATAATGACAAAATGTGAATGGAAAGGGACCAAGACAGCAAACCAGCCACAGTATGAAAGACAGTAAAGTGACATATAAAATGCTTAGCAATGGCTTTCTTGCAAGTACTGTGGTCAGAAAGTGTGTAAAGGAGGACAGTGACATGGCTTTGTGGAAAGCCTTTTCTATCCCCTCAGGGTAAGAAAAAATGCTTATTTGAAGTTTTTGCTAATGGATGATTAAGACTGCCAAATAGGAAGAGACTGGATGTGAAAACTAACTTTTAAACAATATAGACCAGACAGAATACTTGTGAGAGCCAGGCTGTGCAGAGCAACTTTTGTAGAACACAGTTGAGGAAGCAGAAGTGGCAGCAGGACATATGTGACACACGGTTGAGGCAAAAGGTTATATGCACAGTCTCAAAGTAGCATTTTGGATAAACACAAGCAATAAAAGCTGTGTTATCGCATCTCAAGATGTGCACACGTTTTCACCCTTACGCACCAAGCTTTTACAAGCCCAACGCCTTTGCTGACACACCCATCTGTAATTGAATTATTTATCTTAAAATGAACATTAGCAAAGCAATTACATACATTAACCTTCAAATGCTAACTACTAGCGTTCAAGATGCAAGCTACTATTCAAAAAAATTTAGTCTGGGGGGCCTCTGAGATCATGTTTGATATCCGCAGACTCAAGAAGAGAAAGTTGCATTAAATTACCTTATCAGTGTTGTTTCACAACTGTAACGTTTAAAAAGCACGATCCTTATTGAAAGAGAAAGGTTGATAGAAGCATTAAAAATAAGAAAAAATATAGGTCAAATACTAACGAGCAAAACCCAGAAACAACTGGAATGACTTTTTAAGATCTTTCAGCACATTCTTTGGAATCACTCGCACAAACATTCATGCAGGACCTCTCAGTCAATGCCGCGATTTAAAGAGAAAATACTTCGTCTTTCTCATAATTGCAGAGGAACATGCTCACACTTGGACTGCATTTTTTCAGCACAACCTTTAGCTTCCATAATCACTTGCTATTTATATTTGTGTTAACCTCAGTCCCTCTTAGCTGGTTTTTCCCCACTATCCTCTCCTCTTTCAAATTCCTCTTCAGACCGAACCAAGCAAAAAACTCTCCCATCTTTAGAAATACAGTCATGTAAATATACTAATAATCACCTTGTCTTGCTACCTTTTGTCCCATCCCTTGTTACATTCATTTGTTGTGTATTATCTTAAGTTACCCTCTTCACCCTCGCTTGATTCCAAAAGGCAGATGCCTGTGCTTGTATGGAGCCTCACTGATTTACATGGTTCTCTTCAGAGCTGGGACTACTGTGACAGTTACTACTGCAAAGGTAACACGATCTTCAGAGAAGCCTGAGGGCATTTTTAAGAAAAAGAATAAATAAAACAATTACTAATTATGATGAAAGTTTATTACTCTTAGAATTGCCATTTAGGGAGCTGGAAGGTCCTTTAAAAAAGTTAATCAAGACAACCATGAAGATGAAGAAGACATTCGTTGTTCATTGCAAGGACACTACAGAAACCTTTAGAAAAGAGGGAAAGATTGAAAGCTGGGAAGCAGATCTGGACTCCTGGTTTGCTAAGATGCTCCCTGGCATTGTTTTTAATAGCAATATTATCTGTCACTGCTGTACTATTATAATGCTTTTTAAACGTGAGTTTTCTCACCAGGCATGATTCCAAGTCTTCACATCTGTGACTTTTATCTTGTTGCATGTTTGCTTCTAGATTTGAAAAAAGGTATTTAACTACAGGTGTTAATTCTTTCTGGGTTTAGCCCCAGGACCACTGTAAAAGCAAATCTTTTTAACTTTGAGCAAAGGTGGGTATATATTAACAAAGAATACATTTAATGCAGCACTAGTCATGTCTTCTAACTAAGAAAAAAAAAGCAAACAGTTTTAAGCAGACAAAAAATTATCTTAGTACTAAAACATACCCCTAAATAAATACAAAATCCAAACAGTTGATGTTTTGAGAATATAAGATCGTGAAAGTAACAACTGCACATATATAAAACTTACATTATTTTTCAAAAATAACTGTCTCAATGAAAAATTCTCCTTCATCAAGATATATGACTTTCCTCTTTAGAGTAAGTTTTAATACATTTCAGATAGAAAAAGATGAATTCAAGCAAGCGATCAAAATTCTGCTGTTTAAATAACTGTTTACATCAAATTCGAAAAGAAACTTTAGTTTCTGTGCTTTAGATTATATTAAAGCAACAATTCACAAATCAGAATATAATGGTTTACCTAATGTTAGCTGTGGAGGATTGGGATCAAGAACATACTCCTTTTCTGAATCTTCCTCTTTTTTATGGTGAGTGCTCTTTTTTCTCAGTCCAGTGTCTACTATTGCTCTGACCATCTCTTTGTTCACAGGTTTGGAAATGTTCTTTATATTCCTTGACTTTGACTTAAAAGGATCCACTAATGAAAGATTCTGGAGCTGAAGTTCATGTATAATATGATCCTGTAAAGCAACTGCAGTAACTGCTATCATCTCTTGTTTGGAGGAACGGCCCTAAAAAAAAAAAGAAAAAAAAATCCCTTTCCACAATTAATACTATAAATGCTTTTTAAAAAGATGCATTATACTACATTAAAAGAAATTCTGCTCTTTGCCAATGGTTTTTACTTGTCAAAGACTTTTATACTCATACAACCCCTGTACTTGAAACCTAACATACAATTACCATAATGTGCAATTTAAGATTGATGTTTCTGACACATCCTAGTTTCAACTTATAAAAAAAAAATCAAAAGAAATATTTGATTTACCATTTATATTAAATAAAATAGGAGTAATTTTTAAGTTTTAATTACTTAGCCCATAATTATTATATGCAATAAACTCATCAAGAACTATAAAAGTTTGGCATGCTCAAACACATTTTACTTCAATATAATTAAAAATAATCCCAAAAGCTAACCTAATCTTCCAAAACATTGAATCTAAACAAGAATATTTTTTTATTAAGAGAATGGTCTTTGCTATCTATTCCTCCATCACTTCCCACCCTGACACCTTAATTTAAAATACGTGAATTTGTACCTTGCAAAAACCATGCTGCTCCATTGCTCCAATCTTTAGCTGATTTTGTTAGGTCTATGGGGTCTAGGTCTATGGGGATCTACAAACAGAAATGCACAAGAATGTGAATTATATTTATCAGCAGAGACAGTCTCATTGAGAGCATTGATTTTGTTAGGTGATGGGGCTCTACAAACAGAAATGCACAAGAACGTGAATTATATTCATCAGCAGAGACAGTCTCATTGAGAGCAGAGTGAAAACTTACTGTTTAATTCTTTTCATGGGCCTGTCATCAGGGAGAGCTTAACATAACATGTGTTCGACCCTCTAAACTCTGGATCTGTAAACAACGGATTACACCTCCTCTGCTGCCAACCTTATCTTACCCCCTGTGGCTGTGCTTGAAGTGTACAGAAGACCTTCAGGCAGCAGCTTGGGTGAAGAGGAACTCCCTTTTCTTGTATGTATTCCTTCTCATGTTATCTTAATGCCCAGCATGCCTACAAAGCACCAAGAACATGATGCACTATAGAAACACAAGGCCAAGGGAAGGATGAATCCCTCGGAAGAAGAGGAATGCACCCCAAGGAGCTCAATATGCTGCCTTTTGTTGCACCCAAGGATCTAGAACACAGTTAATCTTTCACATTGAAAACTCTTCCTCCTCCATTTAAATTGCACCTTACCATTTCTGCCCCACGGATCTCCTTCTCTTGGGCTATTTCTCTAGACATTTCATCTTTACCCTCCCCAAAGGGAGGACCTGCCTGCCCATACCTTCACGCTGATCCTTCACCTGCTCTCTGCACATGCAGCTGGAGTGCCTGGTTGTTCCCAGCACAAGAGCTGCTGAGAAGCCTGGCCTGGTTTCCTTCTTTCCCACTTTCCTTGATCGCACACCTGGTGTGAAATCCCTCACCCCACCCGGGGCTCCCAGGGCCGTTTATCTTGGGAAGTCCCCACACACCTGCTGCCGTGTCCCAGGCCCTCTCCTAACACTTTGCTTAGCTCTTGCGCTACTTCCTCCCCACATGCCTCAACGCTTTGCGAGGCCTCCTCTGGGGGACAGCTCCTCCAACTTGGCCCTGGCTCTTGGCAACACGGGCTTATCACTCTTTATTTACCTCTACTATTCGGGGGCGGGAGAAGGGCACGGGCCGCGCTCTGCTTCACCACAGACCTCCCCGCGCCGCCCCCAACCCCGCGGGAGGAGGGGGAGGCCGTTGCGGCGTGCGGGCTGCCCGCCATGACAGCTCGTTTTGAGGGCCGCTGTTCACTCTCGTTTATAAATACATATGTATTTTGATCCTTTACGGTTGTTTCTGATCTGGCAGGTGATTAGGTGGGGGCCTTTCGGCAGCGCCCTCCAGCTTCTCTTAAAACCTCCTGATGATGGAGGGTGGGCCACGCAGGGCCAGTGGCCCCAGTAGTCCCCCAGGCAGCAGTGAACACTTGTCAGTGTTGGTTTGGTTGGCCCATGCTTTTAGAAATTTTATGCAGCCATCATTGTTACAAAATTGTTTGTATACATAGAAAATATCCATGAGCAAAAGCCATAATAATATATATCCATATATGGATATCCATATTATATATATCATGGATATATGCCGTATATCCATAAAAGCATAACAGTGGGTCAGACCAAAAGGCCTCGTAGCTTCCTGCCTCTTGCCTTGGCAAAAAGTGGGAGCCTTAGGGAGACTTGGAGCCCCCTTTTTCCTGAAGTGGAGAATAGATACAGAAGCTGACCTAGGTCCAGGTGCACCATTTCTTTAGCCTTCTGGGTTTAAACACTCTTCACGCTCCTCAACCGCTACGGGCTTGAGAAACTTGTTTTCTTGTAAAATTGATGGTTTCTTAAGAGAAAAAAAAAAAAAAAAAAAAAGCCGTGAAGCTGTCCTGAGAGTCATCCTCCTTGCAGCATATAAATGAAGTGATTAACCCACTAGATGCATTTCTGCTCTGTAATTATAAGTAATTACTTAAATTCAGATCTGCAAATGAGGATACCTCTGTGTACTGTGGGGGAAGATGCACAAAGCAACTAAAGTGGCAGTCTTCAAAATGACATTAAATCACCGATTGTGGCTAAAGACATGGAATGAGAAGATAACATTTAAAAAAATAAGCTAACAAGTTAGCTTGACTCCAAAACTTCCTGAGTCATATCATAAAATTTTTACAATATAAACTTAGATTTTTTTTTTTAGTAATAATTTTTATTAGGAATAGCACAAAAAACTTGATCCACTACCGTCTACTATATAATAGAAAAAGGTAAATCCTGCAATATTTGCAAAAGTTAGCCCATTGATATATAGAAAAATCCTTAGTATGTATCAATTTTAGTACAAAGCTCCTGAGAAATGCATTGTTTGTGTGTTTTCATTTCAGCATTCATTATGCTTTAACCTGGCCCAGCCTTCTTGTGTCTTTTCATTATTACTTTTTTCCCCAAGAATACGCAGCTGAATTTTTACAATTGCCAATAAGCTTCTTTTAACGAAAACGGTTGCCTTCTCTTCCATTTCTGTCATACTTCATTAAGGTGATCCTGTACACATGTATGCTTAATTAAGGCTTTTCATTAAACTAAGCCTTTAATCCATAGGTGCTGGGCCTTAATTGAAACTCGAGGAAGATTAGTGTCGTCTCTCATTTTGCTTTTCACTGCTGCTCTGCTTCCTACTGCTTCTAAACTAAAACGTCTGTATTAGCCCTAGCGGATATGTGGCCAGGCAGACCCTAACATTCATATTGCAGCTTTCTGGAGTCTCTGTGCTTCTGAAATTGCCATTTCTTACTAAGTGCCACCGTTTACCACTTCAAATACTTAAAGTTGCTTTAAACATTCCAAGGACATCACCATAATGAGCCTGTTTCAAAGGTGACTAATAAGTGACTAGTGATACCTGTCTTGATCCATGTGTATAATGCAACTTTAAAGTGTTAATTGTATGTTGAAATATTGTTGGAATCGTAGAGCTGTCCAGAACGGATTTTACAGAATTCCTCTAAGGATGATGACCGGAATTCAGCAGTTTCTGGTCTCGTGGTACTCTTGCTGTTGGTGAGGTGAGAGTAAATTTTCGAGCTGGGCTGCTGAGTTGCCTGGGTTGAACGAATTTAACGCAGAAACCACAGAAGAAGCAATGCTAAGACATGGGTTTGGGCTAAACTAAATACGGGGACTGTAATGAGCATTTTGAATAGATTTAAGGCCAAATGTAACTCCCTGTGTGGCCTTTGATTTTTCCTGGAAGATTTTCTTGGAGGATTTTCTAAGATGCGCAGTATTGAAGATCGATGAATGTTTAGGGCTAGGGGTATCTGGAAAGTGCCACATACATTGTAGTCTGTAATTTCCAGTCGGCATGTGGGGTTTTGCCTAATGAAAAGACTGCCCATTTTGTGGGAAACACATTTAACTAAGCAGAAGCAGAATTTTCTGCGAACGCGTGTTGCTCAGAGCGGGTCTCGGTTTCCTGCAGCAGGAGCGTTTTGAGGGCTGCTTTGGTTTCTGCCTCTCTGTTTGTCTTCTGAGAGGCGCTCATTCCTCGCGGGTGAAGTAAAGCCCCAGTTCCATCGCTGCCGCCTTCAGAATTAGCACTGAAAACACGGGATTCCTTCCCGGGGTTGATGAAAGTAATTCCGTGTTTGCCGTGTCAAACAAAGCATGCTATTTGTCACGTTGTGGTTTGTGTGTCTTTTGAGAAGCTTTCAACTTTGATCTGAGGCAAGGTACACTCAGTAGCACGGATGACAGAAGTAACAAACCGGTGATGTGCATTGTCATTCCTACAAACTCCTTAAGTCAACAGATACAGAGACTTAGATGTAGAAAACCATATTGCTTTTGAGGGGACTTGCGCATTCTTGTGAGGAAACGCAGGCCTTTGCTTTTCTTGTCCCAGACAAAGGTGTGGAACAATTTATTAGCCGAGGATTCAGTTCAGTGTCTGCAGTCAAAAGGTGGCTCCTCTAGGCCAGATCCTGGCCCTTGCTTAAATTTTCTGGGTAAACAGTTGCATTTAAAAGACATTGTAAAGGTGGGCTCAGTAGCACATAAAAGCTGCTTTCTTTAAACTGTCATCACGGAGGTTTTCAGACTGTGCTTTTAATACTTGGAGAGCTCACGCTTGTGTGTGTGTGTCTCTCTCTCTGCTAAATGCTATTTGAAACAGTTTTTTAGTGCAACTTCTACCTGATTTTACCTGATCTGTCTTTATGGAAATTAGCCTTCTGTGTAGCAAGACAGATGATTAGAAAAGGGCTTCACAAAATTATCTTTTAAAATGTCACAATATTATCAAAAGCCCATGTCCCAGCGCTGCAAAGGAGGGCGCAGAGCACCCAGTGTTGCAGTGAATACACAGTTGTTCTGCATGGCCCTGCTGTGGGCAGCACACACCTGTACAAAGGAAAGATTTTCTTTATTCTTTCTTACTACGTACATTTCCTGATGCAAAAATCTTAGAACAGAAGCCCAGGTAGCACAAAACTTTCTTTTTTGCATGAAAGAGTAAAAAATCCATAATTATTTTGTTCATTTTCTTTTCTCCTCGTGATATTTTCGTCTACCATGCCCAGTTTCTTAACTGCTCTTCAGGCCTCCCATTAGTATAAAACACATAGGCAGGAATAGAAGATGAGGTGAGCAAGTGCAGTTGAGGTGGAGCAAAGCTTAAGAGATGCCTTAAAAAAATAACTTTTCTGTAAGGTATTTAAACTTGCAAATACTTCATAGACTGCTACAGGGAGCTTGAAGGAAGCTGGGTAAGACTCAGTATAGACATAACCTATCCCTTGTGAAATAAGGCTCTCATAAAGCAATGAGTGAGGCACAATAATTCATATCTGTGTACTGTGTGGAAAAGACAGATCAGGATATGGAAGTGGGAGATCGATCCTATAATTTTAAAATCCCATGGATTTTTCTCCAAAAAGAAAAGTGAAGAGCAGATAGGGCCATAAGAGGGTATCTGGGCTAGGAACTACCTTGAGCAGGGTGAGGGTCACAGCGCAAAGCAAAGACCATCTTCTCCAGTGGGAATTTGAGGATGGAGGAGGTTGACACCATTCCACATTCAGTCAAAATGTGGTATAAAAAAGAGCATAAACCTAACACTGCATAAACCTAAAGCTTTGTAAGACATCTTAAACACAGAGTGGGGCTTTTGGCATGTGTCTTTCACAATAGGTATTTATTATTATTTCAAAGTCATAGCCTTCCAACCTAAGATTAATTTCAAGTAAGATAGGGGAAATCAGAAGACCACTTGGAGACGTGATGAGAATTGAGATGCTAGAGGTATGACAAGAAGCACATGGGGTGTCATTGGCACAAGTGTTTTTGTCAGAAATCTTTCTCAGATTCCAGGAATGAGCCTGGTGAACATTACTTTGGTGTCAGGGAACTTAATTGATAAAATCATTAAGGATGAAAACCCCATAAAGGACATAGGTGGAGTGTAAATCTACAGGGAAATCACTGTGGCTTGCAACAGTATATTGTGCTTTTCAGCCTGCTGGTATCCTCTAAAGGTTAACAATTTAAGGGAGAAGGTTGCTAATACAAGTTCTAATAATTTAATCAAAAAGACGCAAGTTCCATAAAAATATTATCCTGGGGGTTTTAGCCAGTAGTAACACAGCTAATAATCACAATGAATTTGATTATTAAGGCAGCACAAATAAAGCCAGTGCATAGGGGGAGAGGGAGGTGAGTGAC